GCTTCCGAGCGATTGAATCATACCTGCTTGAACAGTTAGAGAAGGGAATGCCTTCCAAGTCGTTAGGAATAGAGGCGTTCGGTTCCGATTTCTGACACCCAGGAACGATTTTTTTTTTGGTGTAGAAACTCATNAAAAAAAAAATGGAAACAATCCCTCTCTCCTATTTTGGATTTCCCAGGATAGCACAAATCTATCTAAAAAATGAGGATGTGAAAAAATGAAACCAGGTTTTCTTGGAATACCGGGCTTTCACCTTATTGACTCATTTGATATAACCATTGTAAAAGACGTTTTTGCACTAGAATTTTATATTTATTTCAAAAAAATCACTGCAGGTCGATTTTTGGAAAGGCAATTTTTCTTCTTTCGCCCAGGGCTATTTACTTAATGATTGGTAGTGGAGTGTGTAGCGTTGGTCTGGGGATGCTGTTAGCTAATTGCTGAGCTGGAGCCAATTTCAGTTGCGGATGTTCTTGTGAGCAAACAACGGCAACCTCACAGAATTGATGTCAGTAGCATGACAAGCTCCAGTCGAAATAGAACTTAAGCCTTTGGCCCAAGAAAAGGCCAATCAATTCCATGGTCAACTGCTGCACTAATTATGCATAAAGGCTATGCATGTAGCTAACTCTCGATGTAGTCAGCGCTATAGCCACAGCCGGACAAAATGTCCTACATGTTTACTTTGCGGAAGTATCTTGCTCTATTTCTGCAAATAACTAAATCAACTATACTTTTAAATCTCTTCGCCGGAAGAATAATCTTTGAGATTGCTTACGTAGTTACGTGTGACCGGAAAAACGTATTAGGACATATCACATCAGACAGCATTACAACAGTAATTTCTCTGAAGTGCACCATATAGCTTGTTGATGTTTTCCTTATGCGAAGCTCTGATTTTTCTATAAAGATGATTATGCTAAGGGTCACCAAAAATTCATTTTAACCGTCTCCCATCAGCCTTAGAAGCACAGTTGACGATAAAAATGTTTCTGGGATTTCTCCCGATGATCCCCATAGTGTCTCATGGCTTCCAAGGAAAGCACTTAGCCATTGTGGGGTCGAAAACGATCTCGACAGGGTGTAATAATGTTTCCAAATACGGTGTGGCCGACATAAACAACAAAATGTGGCCGAGTTATGACGGCCTTGTTAGGGCTGCACCATCCCCAATGAAAGGTCAGGGTGAAGACGAAAAGTACGCTTATGTGGGAGACACCCAGACGATTACGGACATGTGATCTCGTACAACTCCCTTTCTTGCTACTTTTTTGATGCCATTCATTTCTTGAAATCGACCGATTTTCGTACTTCAGTGTTTCTGTTTCTCTTCTTATCCAGATAAATTTAGAGTTTGGAGCCGGAAAAGTAAACGGGGAAGGGCCGTCTGAGAAATCGTTGATCAGGGAATGGATCCTTGAATTATCAGGGTGCGTAATGATGGCGCAATTTTCGATTGTACGATTATAAAATCACCTAATTTTTTATCCTCTTTGTCTTAAAGGCGTCTTACTGATTACTTCAACGTCTTACCGGTTTCTGGGTTAGAGTGCTTTCCCACGTTTGTCTCAAAGCTTGTATAAGTTCAGTCAATGCTAAGTATTAGCTATAGTTAAGAAACGGAGAAAAGCTGAGGTAAGCCGCACCATCACCGTAAAGGCTCTCTCATTGAAAGGATTCAAAATTCCTCTGAAGCAAGAAAATGCCTGCTTGGGGCAGGTGCAATTAGCAGGTTGGAAATTCAAGGCAGTAATGTACCTATTTTCGAACTAGGCTGAGGGTGACAGTTTGGTGAGATGCCTCAGAGGGCAGAGGGCTCAGAGAGCTCGAATCCTGGCAGTAAGCAAAGGCTAGGGCTTTCAAGTGCTCTTTTTGCTAGATATTCAGGAGAAAAGGCTTCATTCCGAATTGGCACCTCCACTTCGATCCTTCCAAGATTCTGAACAACTCGAAAGTTATCCGTTCCCTTCTGGGGGCCTTCTGTGGGCATTAAGAGTGCTGAGCACAGTTAAAAATAAACCTCCCCAGTTTTTTCCAGATGCATTTTGGTGTCATAATTACGGCTAAAAACATGAAAGTCAGGAGCATTCAGGCTGTCGGGCAGTCATTAACCAGTTTTCCCAGTTGCCAGCCAACAGGTGAACTTCTCCGATTGTGGGTTTCCTCATACACAGCGCTCTCAAAACAAAGGAATCTAAAGGTTCTACGGTCAAATGACCGATAATAAAATGACGAGCCAAGTAGAGTATACAATCAGCCGGAAATGTCGGCCTTATCAGCTCGATTAGCGCTGTCACGTTCACATTTCCGAGCGCTCCAACGCTTTTACGGACGTTTCAAACAAAACACTCCCTAATAGGATTCCCTACTCTTCAGTAGGTGAGTTATGTGGGAACCCTTTAAGCCTTAAGGGTTGAAAATCGTCTGTGTTTTTCAATTGAACGATATCCGACCATTAGCTGAACAGAGGAAGCTCTCGTTCCTCTTCAAGTGGAAATGAAATTCTGAATGAAAGTCGGAGGAAGGAGAGGTCGTGAGTGGGGGCAAAATTTGATTGCTTGTCGTCTTGAGAATCAACGATCTTTCATTTCAGTTATCCGTGATGATACTTGATGCACATGGACTTCCTGCAATGGATCGGAATGGGATGTCTGACCCTTATGTGAAATTATGTATTCTACCTGAACGAAAGCAGAAATATGAGACGAAAATCATACGAAACACACTGAATCCCGTCTTTAATGAGACCTTCCTGTTTTCAGTGAGTTCTTTTGCTGTTTATTCATGGAGCTAGATGGACTTCTACTCAAATTCGATTTTTTCATTATCTTTAGGAGCTGTGTAGATGTCTCTAATGTACTGTGGGGATGGATCGTGTTGAATGAGGTTATGGCACTCATCACGAAGAGTCCTTTCCTTGTAGAAGCCTATTTGAAAATGGGGTTCGGACACTGTTCTGGTTTCCCCCAATACTAACTGAACCTTTCCATACCCATGAGACCCTTTGAACCCTCTAATCTGCTTGCCAAAACGAAGCAAATCGTGTACGAGATCTAGAAAAAACGTAGTGGTTTTTTTGGTGATGGTGAAATTTTTCGGAAACTTTGTGTACCACTCGAAAAGTGGGAGTATGGTAGCTCGAAAAACGGATTTCTTCAAACTGATGTCGTTGAAACTCTGCTGTATAGAATCAGAAAACCAAGGACGGCTTTACATTAGTCGAGTTTTTGATGAATAGTTCCATTTTAAGAACCCTTTACAAAGACTTTCCTTCGGCGATTTCGTTCCAATTCAAATCGATCACGGATCCCTTGTAGGAGGACACAAATGCCCGATTTTAATGGGACATGAATTCATGATTTACGTTTTCGATCACGAATACAAACTTCCAGTTCTGGATGGTTGCCAGCCTTACGTTATGAAATAGCTGTAACCAGTAGGACATGCTGCAGTACTTTCTCCATTGATCTGACTTTCATTGATCCCTGATTTCCGAAGAGTCTAAGAGTCCTAAGCTCTTCAACCCGGAACTGACACCTCATTTACTTTCCGTCAAAGCGACATTAATTGTTCTCCCATTTCCTTCCACTTAATTGCCTCTGGGAGATTGAGACTTTCTACATGAACTTCCATGACATCGAGCTGGAAGTCGAACATTTCGAAAGGAAACGCTTTATGGCATATTCTAGGACAGTTTCTTTTTGGGCAAAATTTCGGGTCTTCTACTCCTTAACCTTCCCAAACATGAACATAGTAAAGCTATTCCGAATTCCGAACTTGAGATACATCCAATCTTCAGTTTTTAGGAATTTTATGGGACCATTTGTCCGGCACCCCATGTCTAGTCTCCGCCATATTTTTTTTAATGGAAGCTCCCTTAGCGCTAGATTGTTCATCAAAACACACTCCATGCCACCCACGGTATGGTTTCCGATTTCCAATTCTAAATTGCATTTGTGACGTGGGTGGAGTGGCGCTTCCGAGCGATTGAATCATACCTGCTTGAACAGTTAAGAAGGGAATGCCTTCCAAGTCGTTAGGAATAGAGGCATTACGGTTCCGATTTCTGGCACCCAGGAACGATTTTTTTTTTGGTGTAGAAACTCATATATACGGCCAAAAATGCTACACTACAAGGAAACGGCGGTAATTGTATATTAATGACATGCCACCGTTAAGTGTGTGGTAAAACGGCCGCCATTGCATTGGAAATGCATACGCGCAAACCCAGAGGCTCCCGATTTCTCGGAGAAGACGTCCCGGGAACCCAAACAGGAACTGTAATCGTTAATCCATTGGTACTTGGAGTTTGCAGGTAGCCCATCCTCATGGTTACTCGGGGATGTTCCACGGACTCGGGAAGAATTCCACTCCGAACTGATTGCTTGTTTCAGTTACCTTTCAACGAGCTACAATCGAAAACGCTCATGCTCACCGTCTACGATTACGATCGATTATCTAAAGACGACAAAATGGGCGAATTATCGATTCCCCTGGAAACGATCGATTTCGGTACAACCACGGAAATTTCACGATATCTCTGCAAACCGGAGAACGATGACGATGTAAGTTTTTGAATTATTCAAACTATACAAAAATTTGACAAAATCTCAAAGAAATCAATGATGCCCGTCTGTGTTTACAAGGAAAATTCGATTCTAAATCGATAAAATGTTGTACAATGGCCTTAATGCGTATTTAGACATCACCCACATCCATTCATTGGTCATAGTAGCTCCAGCATAGCAAAAATCGGTGGCAATACTCCCATGGGACGGTTTTCGTACGTTCTATAAAGGAAGGGAATGTACTTTATATGAAGCTGTTATCGCTGAATAAGATGCTGTAGGAGCAAACCAAATTTAATTTACTGGCCGTTAAATGACAGGCCACTAGTAAGCTTGAACCTTAGGAAAGGGACATTTCCCTATATATGCCTTCAGGATGATTTTAATGAGTTCTGAACGATGGGGCTTACTTAGAACCCACGCTACTGACTGATGAATGGGTCCAAATGAATTCATTCTTCGTCCATTCATCAGACGATCTCATTTGTTCCATGATCTTCTAAGGGAATATTGTAACAAATTATCAGTAGTTTCATCATTTTCAACTCAAATTGCTCCGAGAGAAACGTTTTTGAACTTTTTCTCTTCCCAAAAAAAAATTCTTTAAAAAGAAGAATCACTCATTTCTTCGGGATTTCTTTGGTAGTAGGTAATGAAAAGATGGAATTATTCTCGCTACAGAAGCTTTAAAATGCTAGAACTCCAGCCTAAACTGTTACTTATTTGATTAGTCAGCTCTTTTTTCGTTCCTTTAGCTACAATTTTATTTGTATCGGCAATAGAGAATGATTGTGTGTACCGTCAGAATTCGGAATAGCACCATCCCCTTCTCCCACTTACTTTTTAACCTCCTCCTTGTACTATTTGAACCCTAACCTTTTTAATTCGAACTTTTTTTTTACTTCGGTTTTCAAAACAAAAAAAAGAGCGGTCGAGAATTTGATGTGGCCTTCTACTGGCGCTGCCTGTTTTGCTCTCGTTCCCATCCTATCCACTTTAGAGCTGATTGGTCTTTTTCGTTTTATTCCTTTGGTTTTTTNTCTCCCACTTACTTTTTAACCTCCTCCTTGTACTATTTGAACCCTAACCTTTTTAATTCGAACTTTTTTTTACTTCGGTTTTCAAAACAAAAAAAAAGAGCGGTCGAGTATTTGATGTGGCCTTTCATAGGCGTTTCTGCCTGTTTTGCTCCCGTTTCCATCCTATCCACTTTAGAGCTGATTGGTCTTTTTCGTTTTATTCCTTTGGTTTTTTGTTTTCTTTTTTTGGGAAAGACACCCATGCTCTTAAACGAAGTGAATTAATGGCTCGAATCCCAGCCGGAAACGGGAAAGGTCCTCGGCACATCACTTGACGTTGTAAAATTCTTATGGGCCATTAAAAACATCGTTAAGAGTAAAATTTATTAGCACATTCACCATAAGGGTATGTAACGTGAGGAACCAAGTTTCCAGAAGCGGAAATCGGGAGAACTCCGTGGTCAAAAAGAATAAGCTAAGTAGGAAAACCTTCAAATTGGCTACTGTCAAGAGATTTTTTCCCCAAACTTTGTCTGACTACTGTGGAATGAGTCTTTTTTGTAAAATGAGCCATGCAGCCCAGTGGAGTCAATAACCTGGGTGAAACATCGTTCAGGAGGGAAATAGTCTGCAAATGCCTTACGACCCAAGCTAATGTACCGGTTGAGTACCCATTCAAATGCCCTCACATTTATGAACAGAGGGCAAAGTCGTGGGGCTCCCTAACGAGTTTTGTCAAAAAAAGTCACCTTATTTCTTTGTTTATTCTTTTGTCTAACGATTTCGAGAGCTGATCTGCAGAGCAGTTAGTCTCTGGCATGACCCTTGAGGAACTAGTTTTTCTTTGCTTCTCATAAAACCCCTAGCCCATTGCCTCTATGCAGCTGAAGGAAATCAACGTGCCAGGGACATAAAAGTAAAAGTGCGAAAATGTTTTTTTGGAGTTTTGGGCCCCCAAATATTTTTTCCAAAAGCTTCTCTCTTGGCTCGGGGACTCATCAATCCCAGAGAAACGAAAAATTGACCAAGAAAAAAAAAATATTTGAACGGGTGAATGCTTATTTAAATTACTGAATGAGTTGCTATACCAGAAAGATTCTAGCCGCTTCCACATCCCCAATCGCACATGGAAGAAATCTCTCTTCGGCCCCATAAGAAGGCTCCGTCTTACGTAACTCTAGTTTTGCTTTTATGGAGGAAATTTCAAAAGTAACTTGATAGCGCTTGACCTGAGCAAAGGGACGAGAAAAAAAAAGAAAAATAGATTTTGAAGAATCCAGCTCTGATAATCTTGGCATAAAAATGCTTTAAGTAATAGCCTTCATGTTAGTCATCTTCTGATTCAGTCATGACTCTGACGCTAGTCCGAACCTACCGTTGTATGTAGTTTCAACAATAGCCCAATAAACAAATAAATAAAGGAAATAAATAAATCTGATTTTAGAAAATTTATCGGCATGCATTTTGGCAACAACCGCCTCTTATTTTTCATGTTCAAGTCAGAAGTTTGATGGAAGCAGCTAGTGTAGAAATGTCGGTTCATCAACAAATACCCATCGAATTCTGACATCAAAACAGGATTGTGAAGGATTTATAGCGAGTTCATGTGAATGTTGAGAGGTTTTCCTAGGGAAAATTCAAATCGCATTTGATGAACTCAATGTGAATTGGAAGCTTCCCTAAATGGAGGCCATTGCTTATGTGGCTTGCACAACGATTTGTGATAGTTAGCCGCTGTTCCGGTCAATGCTTTTATACTTCCAGACAAGTTTAGCACCAATTAAAAGACCTCGGGGAATGGAGGGCTTGTTGGTCTAGACAGGAACTAGTCTGGAATACGATCCCCGGACCATGCATGTCCATGCACTATACCGTATCCGTCCCTTGAGAAGCGAAGAAAAAATTTTCTTACAATTAGTTTTTAATTGTTGGTCGTATTTTCGAAAAAAAAATCCAATTACCCAGCGGATAGCAAGAAGCAAACCAATCGATTCTTTGAAAAATGAGAGTTTTTAACTTTGCACTTGCTCGTGCAATTTCAAGGCGATTTGGTTAGCCAAATGAAGTACATATTCTTAATTTAATTTGTCTTTCACACCTAAAATTATGCTTGGGAAGGGAATTGATTTGCGAGCCATTCCAATGGCGAATACATGACTGTCATGATTTCCCCCGAAATACTTTTCGGTGAACCAAAACCATGTGACAGCAATGGACACTGATTGCTCAGAGTGCGCCACGCACTGCACCATTGACCCAATTACATTGCCCTTCGAATACATACTTTGCTCATGCAATCATTTGTCTGCTGGTCGATGTACAAGTATGGGTTTCCGACCTTGAAGTTCAGAAACTGATACTGAATAGCAGGTCTCAAGAGGCAATGGGTTCAGTAGAACTGATCAGAATTCGATTTTGAGTCGTATTCTACTGAAAACCTCGTGGAACTGCCCGATTATCACTTCTCTAGTTTTGCCCTTTTGTTATCATCAAACGACATATAAAATAATGCCATTATGTGCCATTTTACGGTGCTCCACCTATTACTGATGCGAGTATTTCAGAATCTTGGCACAGAACTTTTTTGATCAAACATTATCCAGTACTGCTCTTAGATGGCCCAGCCATCACCAAAAAAAATCATGCTAAATATAAAAATTAGAAAAGTGTCCATTCCCAAGTTCTTAGGCTAGCCGAACATGGGGAAAAGAATGTGAAATAATTGCTTTATGTTCTTAAAAAATCATGAGAGCATTCTTAAAGCCTTCTGTATGGATTGAAAAAGACAGCGCTCCTTTCTCGGATTGAAAAACGAAAGCGGGTGAAGCATCTGGTATATTTTTATTTCATTAGCTCATAATCCAGAGGGAGTGCGCTTAGGGATGCCAGAAGACATCAGTGCAGAAATAGGAATACAAAAAACTTCGATGTCATTAGGAACATCGTGGGAAGTCTATTTTCAGGTACTAATCTTGCACTTCTAGAAGCCTACGTTTAAGGAATTTCCTTTTTCGAGGGAGTCCCTTCAACGTTGAGGCTTCACAAATTATGCCCCCTCGATTCTCACACATCGCTCAGAACCCCAGTGTTCGCGGGATCGGGTCCAACAGGGTAATGATTGCGGGGTTCAAATGATTGACATCCGAATCGCCACCCTAATAACTTGAAGATTCTTGAGAACCTAAAATGTAAATCGTTCTCGTCGGGACCATTGGGCGAGCACTTCCGTTTAAGCTCACTTTCAACCTTTGGAGTTATTAGTGCTCTCGTAATGCCGTCCGTTACCGACCACATGTTAATTGCCGTAAAGCGCTCAGACAGAAAATGAGGCCGTTTGTTGATCACCGCCTCTCTGGTGGGTGTACGTCAATGAGAAGAAATGGGATTTGCTTTTGAAAGCGGGAAGTGGGCCAATTAGCTGAAAAGCGCTCAGTAGTAATAGCATTTCGGAGGCAGTTTATAGAAAGGGGAGAAGGTACGTTGAACTTCGAGAGCCCCTGTTCCTTGGAGTTCAATTCGAGACTCGGGTCGATTATTTTTTTTACAATCTCGATAAGAGAGTTGTGGAGAAGCCATCTCACAGAACCTTCCTATGATAGAAGGAAATTCCCAGCTAATAATCAAAATTTGATTTTTTTGGGCAAACAATCAAAACAGGGAGTACAAAGTGGATGTACTGAAGTCCAACAGGGCCGGGAGGGGAGGTCTCCTTAGAGGAGTGGAGAAAAGAGGAGGGGGTGGAGGTTACTTCAGGTTCAGAGCGTATTATATCATTTCTATGTCTTCAGCGAACAGCTGCACGTATCATTTTTTCGTATCGTTTCTTATCAACGGAATTTTTAATGATTAATTCAAAATAAGGTCAAAATTGAGAAACATCTGTGTGGAACAGGAAAAGTCCCAAAACATCGAGAAATGATTGTAAATTTAAATGTCCATTCCTGAAGAAGTAAGTAGGACCCTTTAGTTCCCAATGAAACTAATTGTAAGAAAATTTTTTCTTCGCTTCTCAAGGGACGGATACGGTATAGTGTACCTTTTAGGCATTTCTTCCATACAATAAGAGAACTCTCGTTTTTCAGAGAGAATCTCGGCTGGGCGACATCTGCTTCTCGACCAGGTATCGACCGGCTACCGGAACTGTCACCTTGACGATAATGGAAGCTCGAAATCTGAAGAAAATGGATGTCGGAGGATCGTCAGGTTCGTCGTTAACCTTCCCAAAACACTCTTTGAAGTTTTCGCTTTTTCACCACAGTATTTCGAAGCATCTCCAGGGTTTTTTAGCTTTAATCAGCTTGTGCTAGCTCTATTTTTCGTCATTTTGAGATAGGGCCAGATGATCCCTTCTGTACTAGTAATGAAGGGACTTTAGAAGCTTAACAATTACTCCCAATTCCCTTTCCACCCCTTCCATATCAAATTTAGATAAATTTAAATCTCACTAGCCAATTTTTCATACCATCTATTTTTATCATTATCGATTATCACCAAGCCAAAGAGTTCGGTATAGAAAAATAGCGAGCAGAGTCTAATGCCATCATTGAAGACGGTCCTTACGACCAGGAACAGTCCTGAAATGAAGGAGAACCGATCGGTTCTCATAGCTGTGCAGCGGTACAAGCCCTTTTCTTTTTTGGAAATGGTTGAGGAGCATGATGAAGAGCTTCATTTCCGCAGGGTTCATGCGGATCACAGGAATAGGGGGAAATAAGTAGATTAGAAGCTGTCATCTACAGCTATTAGTGGTTTGCCATGCTACAAGAGAAATAACAGGAATTTGTCAGACTAGCAGTATTTATCGGGGATGCACATCCTTGCAAGCCACATCAGATGACCCATTAGGGCTCGAAAGATCCGTCAGAGATTTACTGTTTAAAATTCAAAGAGTATAACTACTAGATTCGAGGCACCTCATCGCATTCTAACCTCAAGGCTGACTACAAAACAGCGGAGCTTATGGTTGAATTTCCACTTCCATCGCTTCATTCTATCTATCTTCGTAATGTAGGACCATTACAGAATACCTTCTCCTACTTTAGACTACGGTAGATAAATAGTCACACCCATAAATCCACCAAATTGCTTTTTCTATTTGAGAAGGTGATTTAAAAGCTGAAATTCGATCGTATTTCTTTGGGAACCCTGATGATAACGATGCATTAGCAAAGGTGCCTTGGCTAAACGTCGAGGATGACGATGGCAGAAAGTGGTCTCTTCATTTAGAATTCACAATAGCCATGTCGATACGTGACGAGCGACATTTGTATGGAAATGAATAATTCTGCAATGGAAGGCACACTACATCACGGGTGCTACGTTTTCTGATTTCCCAAGGGCTATTCTACCACGGGGATTGAGCAAAACATGGAGGTGTAGTGGTCACTGAAATGTGGACGATATCGATGACAGAAGGTGGGAGTCGCAGTGTGGTTAATGCTCGGGGTGGTTACTATACAGGGAAGACCTATGGCGACTCGGTGTGGGTGAACTCATAGTTCATTGATTCAAACAAAACTTTCTCGAAATCTTCCTCAATTGGCTACATTTTCCTTTGCCAAGGTTCCGAAGAATAGAAGTGTTTCTTCTCGACAAGAAAACGAACGAAAGAGAATCCGACGAAGCGATTTGTTTCTTCTCGATTTTTCCCCTATTTTTTGTATAGATTCACGTCATTAGTGAGGCTTCGCGGCCCAATCCTTCCATCCTGCCTTTCGGATGCTGTTTTCCGCTTCTCATTTATCAATTAGTCTGTCATGTTCCTCTAGTCGTACACATCATGCAAAACCAAATGAAATCTCCTGCAAATTCACGAGTTCCTTCTACCAAGAACTGAATAACATAGGCTTCCCTTTGAGAGCTATCAACCTCTGGGTCCGTACTATGAAATATTAACTCTACAAACATGGTGTGCATCTGAGTGCATGGAGAAGTTTCCTGAACAACATGCGATTTCCAGCTGCTTCAAAATTATTCTAGACACTCAGTGCAGCTGCCATAGCAAGTATCAACTTTAACGGGTTGTGAACCCCCATTCGGGAATAACCTGAAGGAAAGGAATAACCTTCCTGAGTTAACCCAGTTATTGACTTCACAGCGATAACAAATGGAGCACTACCATCGAAATGCGTTTACACTTTGCGGCGCGATTAGCAGCCAAAATCCCAGATAGGGTGCGCAGGTAAGTATCGAATGGTACACTGCAACCTCTCTGAAAAGTTCAAGAATAGGAGGAGCGGAGAAATGGGAGTAAGCAAAATGCTTCCAATCTCCCACGCTGAAATCCCTGTAACAATACAGGAACTGCAGCAAAAAGAAATAATCAGTACCAACAGGATTCCACGTCTTTCCCAGTCGATACTCATCTAATCGTAAACAAATCGAAATTGTATGGAAACTTCCATGTCCACCTCGTTTATCTCCTCTTGATCTCGTACAAAGTTGATCCCATTGGGAATTAGCAACGGCATGTTTACTTCAGACGGGAAAGGCTGTTCGTGGGAAAACCTAATTGTTGGGGTTCAATAACAATCATCTGAAGTACTAATGTTACGAAGGTCTGAAGCGGGACCACGTCTGTTCAACAGCGAACGATTCCATGTTTGTCCTATTGCCATTATTTGGTTATGATAATCAAATTAGTCTAGAATTCTGGTCGGTAAAATGCCTCGAACAGCTATGGAAGGGACTATGAACGCCTTCCAAATGAGTACCGATTTTCAATTGAAGCGAAAAAAGGCCATGGCTACGACAACATTCCCCAATCGGGATACCATGCATTGCTTTTGCTTTTCGGTCATAAGCTCGACTACGAAGTAATAGACACAAGACGACCCCACACGAATGATATAAGAGCATACAGGTCCTTCCTATTTCACAGGGCCCACGAACCCGTAGAACAAGCCCGATCGAACGTAACAAGGAGAACACTTCGAACCGTACAGCATTGATATGGACAAGTAGATGGAACCGAGAATTCATCGTTTCACCTTGAGCCAAAAATGCTTAGGCGAGAGTCCCCTCTGATTTTCTGTCACTCATACCTAGTCCTAAGGCCATGCCTTTCTTTCAGTCTTCCGTTCAGGGACCGTTATGTTTACCGATAGTATATAGTTTACCGATGTTTACTTGCCTGGATAACGTGGGTAAGTTCGAGTGGTGCTTTATGCTTAGTAGGCATTTGGATAGAACCACAATCAGTTGAATCAGAAATATCAAAACCAGTTTCAAAAGAATCCCTGAAGTAGCTTGGATGTGACTCGTTTATGGAAATCGCTAATATTTCTGTACTTAGTTTATGCGATGTCATGTGAGGCACTGTAGAGTCGAAAAACGAAAAAGATAAGACCAAAAAGGGTATAAGAACGTCTTTTCCGGCGTCCGTAGGGTGGTCGTGTTCCAACGTAGATGGCTGCACCATTCACAATGGACCACACGTGTCGAGAATTCAAATAACCAGTGGAAGGCAGATTTTGGCTCACAGTACTTTAGCCAAGTCTGCAATTGCACGCGACTGAAACCTGGTCCGAGCCCCTTTCTACGAAATTTCTATCATGATAATCTCGTAAGACCTCCCATTCTCACTATTATTGAAAGCCATAATTTTAGCGAATCCTGTGCATATTTTCGCTTTCTTCGTCACCGATGGATTATTCACCATTCAACGGTTCCAGTTTTTAGCCTAGAAAGGGCACCTCAAAATTATCGTACCATGTCTTAAGGTACCTCCAAGAGTCCGCTGTGAATAAGAAAAGCCTAACAGATCCAATGGTTCTCGCTTTATAAAGGCCCGTATCTTTCTTTATCTTTAGTTATTAGTTTCTGTCACCACCCGCCTACTTTCCAATCACACTCTATACGACAAAGACCAAAGTCCCAAGGCTCTACTAATGAAGAGAAGACAATTGGATTTTGTGGATCACCCTCTAACCAACTCCTATCCACGATTGCTAATTCCTGTCGCACGCAACAATCCCATCACAACTCAAGCAGGGTAGTGAAGCTTCCAGGTTGCAACAATCTTGCAGAGGAAGCAAAAGAGCACAACAGAACCAGCAGGTCTTTCCTTCTGATGGTGAGGTTGCCAGTTCTTCTCAACTGTTATCATTCCTGTCTTCCATTAAACCACGGTAAAATTTCGTTCAAAAACAGATACATACAAACACACATACGTACATACATACAGGGGTGCCCAAAAAGAAGACACTTTCACTGCTCGGCTTGTACCACCAATGTAATCAACCTTTATTAAATTCTGACTGAATATTACCACCCGCAAAATCAACAACACATTGTACTCGACCA